CAGACTGCGCTTGTCAAAGGAGGGGGCTTTGTTGAAAACGACGTGTTTGAGAGAGGCGGGGCATAGAGGACCTACAATAATGTACAGTATTTGAAAAATAATGTGTTTTTTGAACATTAAAGCATGTCAACATATTCTGTTACACCAAATACACAAAATAATGATCTTTAAAATAGCATCATATGACCCCTTTAATTGATTTCTATTTTCAAATACATTTGATTAACATCAGCATAGTGATACATGATGGTGTGCACTTTGAAAGATGAAAACATATTTTTCGACTGTTTACTGTAGATTACCCTACCGTAATATCCAACTCAAACATCTTCTGATGGTTATAGCTGGTTTTACATGGTTTGTTTTTGTTGGGTTTTTATTGCTGGTTAATTATAGTCATTACCTGGTCCACACTCGTCCATATAGTTGATCAGCTGACTTTAACCTGGTAGAGCATCTTGGGCTGGAAAACAACCTTGAATGAGCAACAAACCAGCTACCATTTTCCAAGATTGGTATGGTAACATGGAAAAACAGGTCATGCCAGTTTGCAGTGGTTTGGTTTGGTTTCCCCAGAATTATTTTTATAAGACAGTGTGACTGAAGTGTCTCTCTTTCCTCTGCATGCTGACAGTGGGACTTAGTGTGTGCCGACTACTGGAAGATTCCACTCCAACACATATGTTTTATGACAGGCTGGACCCTGGGCTATATACTCCTTGGCACTATATGTGACTGGTAAGTTTCCCTAAATTATTATTACTTTGTATTATATTAATTGTTATCTAAATGTGATCAAAATGCACAAGCTTGCAAAATATCAAACCGAGTGATTACTGCAAATGAATGTTGCTAGAAAGTGTTTGCAATAAACTTTTAAATCACTTGTGTCAAGAATGAATGAAGTCAGTTCTCCGCAACTTTCCACTAACATTTGACATGTAATCTGTTCAAACTCTTGTCTTGATAATTTCAGATAAATGTTCTTGTTTGAGCATGTCAGACATGCTGATGTTCTTTGTGTTTGTGTGTTGTCTCAGGTTGGGTCGTCGGTGTGCTCTGCTGCTGTCAGTGGTTCTCTCTGGCTTGCTGGGAATCATGTCTTGTCTTTCTAACAGTCCTTCTGCATTCCCATTTCTTCGACTCTGCCAAGGCTCAACATTAGCCGGAGTGTTTTTGTCATCTTATATTGCACGCAAGTACTCGCCATCAGTTGACCTCTTTTTAAGTATGCGACTGATAAGATAGTGACACAAAAGGATGTCTGCTATACACAAGTGGTTTTGCAAGGTACATGTTTTGCTAGGGACATTGAATAGATTTGGCTAGGCAAAAACGTTTGGTTTTAAAGGAATATTTCAGACTCTCTAAGTATACAAGTTACTTAACCCAGTACCCATACAAGTTTTTGAACCACCTTAAGGTTATAAAAAGCTCAGTCTCTTCCTACAATCCCCAACACAGCAGAAAGTCCTCATGTCCACGGTCAGATTGTTAGTATTGCAGCACAGTAGATCACAGAAAATGCTCTTTCTTTCTTTTGAAAATCCATCTGGGTTCAATTTCCACAACATATATATATATATATATATATTTTTTTTTTATGTTATTACATTATTAACAGACACTATCACCCAAAGTTTGGATACATTTGACTGAATTTATTTATCTTAATATCGTGAATATTTTGAAATAACGGTAGCCAAATATAAAATGTCCATACATGCTAATTTCATTATAAAACTAAGTAAAGTGAAGGAAAAGCAGCCAACAATTGTCCAGCATACTATTTCAAAACTGTTATTCTAAAATGTGGACAGTAGAAAATATTAAAGATGTAGAGTAGGCATTTGACTGTAGTGTGTATGTGTCTGTTTATATGATATAATCATGTACCCTTCAGACTTGCTCAATAGTGCACTTTTGATAAGGAGTGTCTTTGTTATTGCTTGATGTTGGGTTTCGAATAGCAACAGGAGGCTTTCTGGAATGTTCCATGAGGTTTCTCCATCTGCAGAGGAGGGGTGAAGAGATTGACAGGGAACAGCAGGTCACAGCATTCCGTTTATATCTCACAAACAGACTGATCAAAACCTTCGAACTGTCTCCGTTACATCACTTTCTGTGTAATCAATTGAGGAAAGTTCAGGGTGTTTTGTCTACTGTCCCTTTTTTATGTGTTTTTGTCTTATCATTGCACAAGTGAGAGGGTAGACATGACAATATCTACTTTCTGTTCTTTCCATTGTGAAGAGGTCTGTGTTTTTGTCCCACACTTCCTGTGATTGTTACATGAGGGTTTATGTGCGTGTTGACTGTTAGCCAGAGCGCTCTTTCCAACACGCAAGCCCCTTTAGTGTGCTCTCAGGGGGAAAAGTGTGGAGGAAGCTGGATGTAAACACAGGCACGTACACAATCTTTTCTGCTTATATACATGACCAGTGAAATGTCAAGGCACACCTACTCATTCTGTATCATTACTATTGTCCAAATTTTAGACAAAAGGAGTGTTGAAAGAGTTTCCATGTATACTGGCAACTGGAAGTTTTTTCTTCACTTAATTTAGTTTTAATAAAGAAATGTGTAAACTACTGGCAAAAATGCTCACCAAGGCTGCATTTATTTGATTAAAAATACAGTAAAAACAGTAATATTGTGAAATATTATTACAGTTTAAAAGAACTGTTTTCTGTTTTAATATATTTTATATTGTAATTTATTTCTGTGATGCAAAGCTGAATTTTCAGCAGCTATTATTAAAGTCTTCAGTGTAACATGAGCCTTCAGAAATTATTCTAATTAGCTGATTTGCTGCTTACATTGTGATACATCAGCAAGAATTCAAGTTATTCATTAAAGACACATTAAATTGGTCAGAAGTGACAGTAAAGATATTTATAATGTTACAAGAGATTTCTTTCAAAAACAGTTTCAACATTGATAATAAGAACCATTATAAATGAGTGAGCACCAAATCAGAATGATTTTTGAAGGATCATCTGAGACAGAAGACTGGAGTAATGGCTGTAAATTCAGCTTTGCAAGAATAATAAAAACTGTTATTTTAAATTGTAATAATATTTTACAATATCGCTTTTTCTACTGTATTTTAATAAAATAAATGCAGCCTTGGTGAGCATAAGAGGCTCTTTTTCAGCAACAAAAAAAAAATCCTTATTATTCCAGTAGTAAATAAATTCTCAATTGATATTTGTCTACTGTTATTATAAAAGATTTAAGATCATAAGAATGATAAATTCAGTAAAATGTATCCAAATTGTGTGTGTGTGTGTGTGTGTGTGTGTGTGTGTGTGTGATGTACTTCCTAAATTTGTTTTAAATTATTTTATCCAAGATGTAAAATTTTGAAAGAGTGAAGAGTAGTGTCATTGGTCTATTTTGCTGCAAGACTTCAGGAACAATAATTGGATAGAGGACACGGGGGCTTCCTGTTATGTAGGAGTCTGTATGAAGAGACTGACTTTTTTCTAGAGTTAAGGTCACTCTCGCCAATAATTCTCTTTAATACTTCCCTTGACATGCCAAATTCATACATTAACTTTCACAATTTTGTCTCTCGTATTATTCCTCTTTATTTTTTCTACATGGTTTAGGACTGGAATGGTGTGACCCGCCTCACAGACTTATGGTGTCCATGGTCAGTGGCTTCTTTGCCGTGTTTGCAGAGCTTTTGTTGCCAGGGTTTGCCGTGCTTTGCCGTGATTGGCCTGTACTTCAGGCTGTTGCCACACTGCCCCTGCTGCTACTACTTTCCTATTGGTGGTGAGTCAGATAAATGCTGTTATCAAGTGTATTCTTCATGTCCTCAAATCACTCACAATCCTTTCCACACGTTTCAATTCACTTCAAAGATTTGGCTGAAAATGAGTCGGTACTAAGCTCATCGTTTTTAATGATTTGTAATAACCATCAGATCCGCTGGATAGCTGCTGAGTTCAGGTTACGGTGCACCCTATGATAAAATTATTCTTCTCTTATGACATGTGAGATGTAAACACGAGTAAGCCTTTACAAAACATTTAGTGTATTGTACTTTCACTCAAAAAGCCATTATAATATTTACATCAAGCCCATAGGATTACCAACATTACGACAGATGAATAATTGAAGACCAAGCATCTATAATAACATGATTGTTTGTGACGTGTGTGTGTGTGTGTGTGTGTGTGTTGCGAATGTGGCAACAGCTGTACTTCAGTGTTCCCAGAATCTCCTCGTTGGCTCATGGCCACATCTCAGATTCCTCAAGCAAAGAAGTGTCTCCAGTCTTTTTCAGTACGAAATGGCGTGTGTGTTAGTGATGAGCTCTACCCCGCTGAAACACTGCTGTCAGGTAAAAATCTCAGCATTACAAACATCTGCTACTGACCTAAGAAGTGCTTTAATCAGTAATAGTTTTAATTATTTACAAAAAATATGTCAAAAACCAAATTTGTGACCCTGGACCACAAAACCAGTCTTAAGTAGCACGGGGATATTTGTAGTTATAGCCAACAATACATTGCATGGGTCAAAATGATTGATTTTTCTTTTATGCCAAAAATCATTAGGATATTAAGTAAAGATCATGTTCCATGAAGATATTTTGTAATTTCCTACCGTAAATATATCAAAACGTAATGTTTGATTAGTAATATGCAATGCTAAGAACTTCATTTGGACAACTTTAAAGGCGATTTTTCTCAATATTTTGCTTTCATCCTCAGATTCCAGATTTGCAAATGGTTGTATCTCAGCCAAATATTGTACTATCCTAACAAACCATACATCAATGGAAAGCGTATTTATTCATCCATAATCTTAGAGCACTGGAGTTTGTTTCAAATCAGAGGCTGTCTACTAACACCCTCTCAAATTCCTCTACAATTAACAATCTGAAGATGGCTTTAATAAATGCTAGATCCATTTCAAACAAGACCTTTTTATTAAATGACTTTATTTCTTCTCGGGAACTGGACCTTTTGTTTGTGACAGAAACGTGGCTCAGCGTTGGTTATTTTGACTGTTTATCTGAAGCATCTCCAAGTGACTTTAATTTTCTAAGTACTCCACAGACATCTGGCAGAGGGGGGAGGGGGGTTGTTGCTACTATATTTAATAATACTCTAAAATGTCGTCTATTAGCAGTGCATGATTATTCTAGCTTTGAGTTGCAGGTAGTTCAAATAGACTTATATTGTCCAGTTATTTGTGCACTTATATTTAGACCACCGAAATATAACAAACTGTTTATTCATGAATTTTCAGAGTTCCTAACTGCAATTGTACCGAGTTTTGAGAGGGTTTTAATACTTGGTGATTTTAATTTACATATCTGCTGTCCCAAAGAGCCCATGGTGAAGGAGTTTCTACATCTTATTGATTCATTTAATTTCACACAATTTGTCTCAGGTTCTACCCACAAACTTGGTCATACTTTGGATTTGGTATTATCCGTGGGTGTTCCAGTTTTGAATGTAGAGATTGAGGATGCTTGTCTTTACGATCATAACCCAGTTGTTTTTAGTATTTCACTTTCCAGTCCCTTTTTAAATTGTAAGCCACCAAGCCGGTATGTTCGGTCTTTGAAATCGTCAATGCCCAGTGAGTTTTCAAAGGGTTATACTTTATTTCCAGCTCTGCGTCTGTCTTTTGGTTCAGGTATAAATGATTTAGTGTCAATATTTAATTCCTCCTGTAATGTTATTATGGATTTGTGTGCTCCTTTCAAAATCCTAAGCCCGAAAGCCAAACTACAGCCATGGCTTAATAAGGATACCCGTAGCCTCCGACAAATGTGGAGAAGAGCAGAGAGTAAATGGAAGAAAGATAATGACCCTGGACCACAAAACCAGTCTTAAGTAGCACGGGGATATTTGTAGTTATAGCCAACAATACATTGCATGGGTCAAAATGATTGATTTTTCTTTTATGCCAAAAATCATTAGGATATTAAGTAAAGATCATGTTCCATGAAGATATTTTGTAATTTCCTACCGTAAATATATCAAAACGTAATGTTTGATTAGTAATATGCAATGCTAAGAACTTCATTTGGACAACTTTAAAGGCGATTTTTCTCAATATTTTGCTTTCATCCTCAGATTCCAGATTTGCAAATGGTTGTATCTCAGCCAAATATTGTACTATCCTAACAAACCATACATCAATGGAAAGCGTATTTATTCATCCATAATCTTAGAGCACTGGAGTTTGTTTCAAATCAGAGGCTGTCTACAAACAACCTTTCAAACTCCTCTACAATTAACTATCTGAAGATGGCTTTAATAAATGCTAGATCCATTTCAAACAAGACCTTTTTATTAAATGACTTTATTTCTTCTCGGGAACTGGACCTTTTGTTTGTGACAGAAACGTGGCTCAGCGTTGGTTATTTTGACTGTTTATCTGAAGCATCTCCAAGTGACTTTAATTTTCTAAGTACTCCACAGACATCTGGCAGAGGGGGGAGGGGGGTTGTTGCTACTATATTTAATAATACTCTAAAATGTCGTCTATTAGCAGTGCATGATTATTCTAGCTTTGAGTTGCAGGTAGTTCAAATAGACTTATATTGTCCAGTTATTTGTGCACTTATATTTAGACCACCGAAATATAACAAACTGTTTATTCATGAATTTTCAGAGTTCCTAACTGCAATTGTACCGAGTTTTGAGAGGGTTTTAATACTTGGTGATTTTAATTTACATATCTGCTGTCCCAAAGAGCCCATGGTGAAGGAGTTTCTACATCTTATTGATTCATTTAATTTCACACAATTTGTCTCAGGTTCTACCCACAAACTTGGTCATACTTTGGATTTGGTATTATCCGTGGGTGTTCCAGTTTTGAATGTAGAGATTGAGGATGCTTGTCTTTACGATCATAACCCAGTTGTTTTTAGTATTTCACTTTCCAGTCCCTTTTTAAATTGTAAGCCACCAAGCCGGTATGTTCGGTCTTTGAAATCGTCAATGCCCAGTGAGTTTTCAAAGGGTTATACTTTATTTCCAGCTCTGCGTCTGTCTTTTGGTTCAGGTATAAATGATTTAGTGTCAATATTTAATTCCTCCTGTAATGTTATTATGGATTTGTGTGCTCCTTTCAAAATCCTAAGCCCGAAAGCCAAACTACAGCCATGGCTTAATAAGGATACCCGTAGCCTCCGACAAATGTGGAGAAGAGCAGAGAGTAAATGGAAGAAAGATAAGCTGCAGGTGTCTTATGATATATTGAAAGATGCTATGATTAAGTATCAGAAGGCAGTTAAAGCTGCAAGGACAAAATATTTGTCTGATCTCATAAGAAAGATACCTAATAACCCCAAAGTGTTATTTAAAACAATTGATTCAGTTTTAAACCCTGAAATAGCTACTGGTCTTGATATCAGTCAGACAACGTGTGTAAAGTTTTTCATTTTTTATTAACCAAATTGATATTCTTAGAGCTAATATTCTGCCTCCTTGACTTTATCCTTGATTATATCATCCCAACCTCATTAGTACATTATTTAAATGAGTTTAAACCGATTTCATTACCTGATTTGGTGGACTTAGTCTGCCATATGAAGTCCACTCAGTGTTCTTTGGACATTGTTCTTCCACGTCTCCTTACTCAGGTATTGGAAGTGGTTGGCCTAGATTTTTTGTCAATAGTGAATTCCAGTTTGCTGAGTGGTGTTTGTGCCATCTTGCTTTAAGCATGCTGTGGTGCAACCTCTTTTAAAAAAGTCCAATTTGGATTCATCTGATTTAAAGAACTATCGCCCAATTTCAAAATTGTCTTTTCAGTCAAAAATTTTAGAGAGGGTTGTCTTTCAACAACTTTCTACTCATTTAAATGGAAATGGTATTTTTGACAAGTTCCAATCAGGATTTATGGCCCAGCACAGCACAGAGTCGGCCCTTCTTAAATTGTCTAATGATCTCCATTTGACTGTTGATTCGGAAAAGTGTGCAATTTTAGTTTTACTTGATTTGACAGCTGCATTTGAGACTATAATACATGAAATACTGATTGAGCATTTAAGACTGTGGGCTGGGATTCAAGGTAATGTTCTTAACTGGTTTAGTTCATATCTTTCAGGGAGAACTTTTTCTGTTGAATTAGAAAATTTCTCATCCTCTTCTGCTCTGATGAAGTGTGGGGTTCCCCAAGGATCAATATTGGGTCCAGCCGTTATTTTCTATTTACATGCTTCCTTTGGCTGTTATCTGTCAGAAACATAATGTATGTTATCATCTTTATGCAGATGATACGCAGCTTTATCTGCCTATAAAATGGGGGATAATTTGGCCTTACAGTGTCTTTTTGCATGTTTTAATGATATTAAGGAATGGATGGCAGCAAATTTTCTTCACTTGAATGAATCAAAGACCGAAGTGATAGTGTTTGGCCGTCCGAGTGTTTCTGAACCCATAATTAATCAAATAGGTTCATTTAAATCTAAGGTACATAATCATGCAAAGAGTCTTGGAGTCATTTTTGAAGCAGAGTTAAAGTTTGATAAGCACATTAATTATGTGGTTAGAGGTGGTTTTTACCAATTAAGGAATATATTAAAATTGAAACCTTTTCTGTCTTTTAATGATTTGGAAGTTGTTATCCATGCTTTTATCATGTCCAGATTGGACTATTGTAATTCCTTGTACTATGGTGTTTCTCATGCATCAATTTCACACCTGCAGCTGGTTCAAAATGCAGCTGTTAGGCATTTAACTGGGACTAGGAAATTTGTAAGTATAACACCAGTATTAGCATCCCTTCATTGGCTTCCAGTTAAATTTAGGATTCAGTATAAGTTATTATTATTTGTTTTTAAAGGTTTAAATGGATTGGCACCAAGTTATATTAGTGAACTTCTTCAGCAGCATACATCATCCAGGCCCTTATGATCTACACAAAGACTCCAGCTAGTTGTTCCCAAGTCTCGATTAAAATCAAAAGGAGACAGGGCCTTTTCTGTTGCAGCTCCTCGTTTATGGAATAGTTTACCTCTCCATGTTAGATCTTGTGCCACTCTTGATGTTTTTAAATCTCATTTAAAGACTTATCTCTTTTCTCTTGCATTTGACTGTAATTAATTTGATCTATTTTTGTGATGTATTACTGTGTTTTATCATTTTAGACTGTATGTGCTATGTCTGATTTGTAAAGCACTTTGGCCAACGTCTGTTGTTTTTAAACGTGCTATATAAATAAAACAGAATATAATGTCAAGCAGAGGATTTCTCCAAAACCAGGAGGATGATGTTCTCAATTTGCATGCAGACTACCTGCAGCTTAAAAGGACCAACACTGTATCAGATAGTTCCTTTTCCCAAGGGTTTTCCAATTATTGAGTGCATCTTATACATTAATAAAATTAAGTTACTGCATGGGTTCGCTGCTCTGTATGGGCTCACTGCCTGATTTTAGAGTGCTGGAGACGAGGCTGGCAATGGAAAGATGTGGACTGCACGGCTGGCAGCTCATTGATACAGTTCTTCATCCGATTGGCAACCCTGGTGGAGAGTTGAATAAAGTGTTCAAACCCCATTGAGTCATCATAGGCAGCAGCTGGAATACAGAACTTTAAATCAAATTGTTCTCTCACAGATTAGTCATTTGCTGGATGTCTAAATACCTCACGGAAGTGGGCGAAGAAAACTTAGAGGAACTGGGTGGCCGGGTTGTCAATAGTGAATTCCAGTTTGCTGAGTGGTGTTTGTGCCATCTTGCTTTAAGCATGCTGTGGTGCAACCTCTTTTAAAAAAGTCCAATTTGGATTCATCTGATTTAAAGAACTATCGCCCAATTTCAAAATTGTCTTTTCAGTCAAAAATTTTAGAGAGGGTTGTCTTTCAACAGCTTTCTACTGTTTTTTTTCTACTCATTTAAATGGAAATGGTATTTTTGACAAGTTCCAATCAGGATTTATGGCCCAGCACAGCACAGAGTCGGCCCTTCTTAAATTGTCTAATGATCTCCTTTTGACTGTTGATTCGGAAAAGTGTGCAATTTTAGTTTTACTTGATTTGACAGCTGCATTTGACACTATAAAACGTGAAGTACTGATTGAGCGTTAAAGACTGGGCTGGGATGCAAGGTAATGTTCTTAACTCGTTTAGTTCATGTCTTTCAGGGATAACTTTTTCTGTTGAATTAGGACATTTCTCATCCTCTTCTGCTCTGATGAAGTGTGGGGTTCCCCAAGGATCAATATTGGGTCCAGCCGTTATTTTCTATTTACATGCTTCCTTTGGCTGTTATCTGTCAGAAACATAATGTATGTTATCATCTTTATGCAGATGATACGCAGCTTTATCTGCCTATAAAATGGGGGATAATTTGGCCTTACAGTGTCTTTTTGCATGTTTTAATGATATTAAGGAATGGATGGCAGCAAATTTTCTTCACTTGAATGAATCAAAGACCGAAGTGATAGTTTGGCCCTCCGAGTTTTTCTGGACCCATAATTAATCAATTAGGTTCATTTAAATATAAGGTACATAATCATGCAAAGAGTCTTGGATGTATTTTTGACGCAGAGTTAAAGTTTGATAAGCACATTAATTATGTGGTTAGAGGTGGTTTTTACCAATTAAGGAATATATTAAAATTGAAACCTTTTCTGTCTTTTAATGATTTGGAAGTTGTTATCCATGCTTTTATCATGTCCAGATTGGACTATTGTAATTCCTTGTACTATGGTGTTTCTCATGCATCAATTTCACACCTGCAGCTGGTTCAAAATGCAGCTGTTAGGCATTTAACTGGGACTAGGAAATTTGTAAGTATAACACCAGTATTAGCATCCCTTCATTGGCTTCCAGTTAAATTTAGGATTCAGTATAAGTTATTATTATTTGTTTTTAAAGGTTTAAATGGATTGGCACCAAGTTATATTAGTGAACTTCTTCAGCAGCATACATCATCCAGGCCCTTACGATCTACACAAAGACTCCAGCTAGTTGTTCCCAAGTCTCGATTAAAATCAAAAGGAGACAGGGCCTTTTCTGTTGCAGCTCCTCGTTTATGGAATAGTTTACCTCTCCATGTTAGATCTTGTACCACTTTTGATGTTTTTAAATCTCATTTAAAGACTTGTCTCTTCTCTCTTGCATTTGACTGTAATTAATTGTATCTATTTGTGTGATGTGTTACTGTGTTTTATAATTTTAGACTGTATGTGTCATGTCTGATTAGTAAAGCACTTTGGCCAACGTCTGTTGTTTTTAAACGTGCTATATAAATAAAACAGAATAGAATAGAATATTCAGCTTTGAGATGATAAGCGGACCTGTCCTAATACTCACACTTGCAGCATTTGCACTTGACCACTTGTCTTAAGTATTTCCTCTACTTAGTCTAAGTGTTCAAGTGGACGTTAAGACCTCAAGTGTGTGCAGAACTTTTGATTATGTGATGGGACACACTTACAACATGATAATGTTTATACAAAACTTTATTTACTTTGAGTTTCCCTCGGAATTTGGCACATTCCTGAACCTGTTCCAGGGTTATTATTGGTAACTAAAACTAATATCATAAATACATATTCATTACGTGCGTAGCCTCAAATACTGCTATTAGAGGTAATGTGTCTGCTAAATGACTAAATTTAATGTAAATGTAGAGGTAATGTGGATTTAGTGTGCGTTAAGGGCACTGAGCGTTTGTATTTATCAGACATAAATACAAACATACACCCTATTTATAATAATGTCTTAAAAAATCAAACAAAATAAATCTGAAGTTTGCATGCAGACTTCATGGAAAATTACTACCCAACAGTCAATGCAGCTTCATCACCAGAATGTAGTTTTGAGGACCCATGGCCTGAGGGTGGCATTTGAGAGATGGTCAGAGATATTTATGGCAACACTGTCTAATCAATCAGTAGAGCTGTCATGGAGGGATTATACTTTTCACAGGATCAAATGAAAGGAAGCATCTAGCACAGGAGGGTAGCGTTGGTTCCGTGACAAGGCTGCTGTTTTTTCTCGGATTTTTTTTTTTCTTCATGCAGTAATGATATCCCAGCTCACTTGCTGAATTACATTACAGCAAATCAAGGCCCATCATGGATAGTGAATAGAGCCATTTAGGGTGTTTAATCTGAAGGAATTGAGCCCATCCCTCCCAGAGAATGTTTCGCTTGGAATGTGCTGGTCAGGTGTTCCTGGAAAAGCCTGTTAGAATTCTACCAACTCTTCACTCTTTAACCCTCTACTTTAAATTCTCTCTGCCTTTTTCTGTAGAGATAGATGAGGTATTCCCTGAAGACATCCAGCCAGAGTATCATCATGTTGTAGAGTTGCGTCACACCAGAGTCATCTGGAAGAACTGCCTCATCTTGGGCTTCACTCTGTAAGTTACACTAGAAAATGTGGCTGCAAGCCAATCACAAACTTCTATTACACATTTAAGTATGTAATATTAAAAACCGCTGTGGAAATCTAGACCCAACATTCATCGCTGTTTTTAAACAATTGGAAATAAGTGAATCGGCACAAACTCCTCCATTTTGTGGGCAGAATATTAACCTTAAAAGCACAAACTCTTCAAAAATACTGTGCATCATCCCAGCACATTTTCAGCATTCTATTATTTGGGAAATGCTTATTTTGATCTTGTGAATCCTATGCAAGTGGGTATATTTCTATCAATAAATAAGCAAAATCCTGCATTCAATTTTGTGTATTAGATTTTATTTTGTAAATGCATTTATTAATCTTTTGAAAAGCATTTATAAATCTTAGTTGAATTTAATTTCAGCATTTACTAATACATCATTAAAATTTATAGTTTTATGGGTTAATATTGCTTAAAGGGTTAGTTCACCCAAAAATGAAAATTCTGTCATTAATTACTCACCCTCATGTCGTTCCAGACCTCCGTTCATCTTCGGAACACAAATTAAGATATTTTTGATGAATTCTGAGAGCTCTCTGACCCTCCCATAGATAGCAATGTAATGCGATCAAGGTCCAGAAACATAGCAAGGAGATCGGTAAAATAATCCATGTGACATCAGGGGTTTAGCCGTCATTTTACGAAGCTACGATAATACTTTTTGTACGCAAAGTAAACAAAAATAACTACTTTATTCAACAATTTGTCTCCTCCGCATCACCCTGGCGCCATTTTGAAGAGTATCCACTGAACACAAACAGCGTATGCTGTTTTGTGTCAGCTGCGTCACGTGGGTACGTTGTTTTCGTTCAAATCAAAGCGTAAACAACGTAGAAAACGTATCCGCGTGACGCAGCTGACACAAAACAGCATATGCTTTTTGCGTTCAGTGGATACTCTCCAAAATGGCACCAGTGTCACACAGAGGAGACGAATTGTTGAATAAAGTCGTTATTTTTGTTTAATTTGCGTACAAAAAGTATTCTCGTAGTTTCGTAAAAATTACGGTTGAACCCCTGATGTCACATGGATTATTTTACCGATCTCCTTGCTACGTTTCTGGACCTTGATCGTGGTAATTACATCGCTATCTATGGGAGGCTCAGAGAGCTCTCAGAATTCATCAAAAATATCTTAATTAGTGTTCCGAAGATGAACGAAGGTCTTACGGGTTTAGAACGACATGAGGGTGAGTAAATCTCATTTTTGGGTGAACTATCCCTTTAATGGACCTGAGCTAAAATGAACTAAAAGTAAACCGTTTTTATTATCTAACATCAACAAAGATGAATAAATACTGTCCATAACAAATGTATTTCTCATTGACAGTTAATGCATTAACCAAAGTTAAGTAATGGAACCTTATTGTAAAGTGTTATCATTTCATTTTGATTCAAGTAAAAATGTTCTCCTTGTCGTCCTCAGCTTCATTGGCACAGGAATCCAGTACTGCTTCACGCGTAACCTGCATATCTACTCGCCACACTTCTACTTCAGCTATTTTCTGCGTGTGCTGACTGGAGCTCTGGCCTGCATCTTCTTGTGTGTGTCTGTGGACCGCTTTGGCCGCAGGGGGATGCTGCTGCTGGCAGCCATTGTCACGGGTCTGTCTTCACTGCTGCTGCTGGCCCTCACGCAATGTAAGCTCCTCTTCAAGCATGACACAAAGACATGTGCTGTTCCAGAAGTTAGGTGGTGAAACTAGACTGCCTTTATAACTCAAAATCAAAGAAACTATGGCATGCATGCTTTCTTGAAAAGGCAATCACAGAATGCTTCACAACAAGCTCGGTGAAAATGTGGAAAGCCTTTGGATCTGTCCTATGATTTTTGGTTTGTTTTGGTTTTACTGACTCTGTCTCTACCGTCTTCTTTCAGACCTGCATGGAGGGCTTGTTCTGGTTCTGTCTGTAGTGGGTCTCCTCTCATCTCAGGCTTTGGCCATGCTCAGTGTGTTCTTTGGCAGTGAAGTCATGCCAACTGTTGTCCGGTAATCTCAACCTCCACTCTATAAAACAGTTACTACATACATCTGTGGCACGTTACGCAAAGCTAGTTGAACAAACTCTTGAGTTTCACAGTAGGTCTGTGAAACCAAAAAATCCAACCCGACTGAGATCAGGTTTGCAACGCTCGCTATAAACGTTCTCTATCAACTTAGGGTTAACACAAGAGAATTGAATTAATTACATGGGTTCAAAAAGAGCTTAAAAGAACACGTGAAAGTTTGGCCATTTTAAAAGCTTTATACATTCTAAAGCTTGTATTAATGTATGTATTATTTATAAATTCATTTAAATTAAGTTGAATATTAATTGTCAGAATATAATAGCTTAAATGTAATGCGTTAATGATATAATGTATAGAATTTAGTTTTGCTTTGCAGTCTCTTAGTCTCCGGTTTAGTGCAAGTTACCATGATGATAAACAACCAAATAAAAATCCAACTTCTAGAACTCGAAAATCCAGAGTTTGCTTAAACTAAACTCAAACCTACCTGGGTAGACACTGAAACCTGGTTTGTGAGGTTTCATAAAATAAAAACGGCAACAAGAAAATGTGTATTTATTTATTAATTCTTCCGCCAAGCAATGTTTAGCAGAATGGTTTTCAAGCCACAGAAGTGTAATAATACTGCAGTAATACTAATATAATGAGATCACAGCCAGGGATTGCATAAGGAGTGTTTTACAACAGCTTCGAATGCAGCTTAGCAAAGCATATTAAGAATGTTACTATTTTGAATCAGTTGTTTGTTTGCTTTTGAAAATATTTTGCTCACCAGGGCTGCATTTATTTGATCAAAATTACAGTAAAAACAGTAATATTGTGAAATATTATTACATTATATTATAACTGTTTTTTATTTTAGAATATTTAAAAATGTAATTCATTCCTGTGATGGCAAAGCTAAATATTCAGAAGCCATACTCCAGTCTTCAGTGTCACATGATTCTTCAGAAATCATTCTAATATGATGATTTGGTGTTGAAGAGACATTTCTTATCAATGCTGGGAAAACATTTTTGCTGCTTAATATTGTTTGTGGAAACTTGACACACCACTATTGAAATAATTAGGTAAGATTTAAAAAAAGAAAAGAAAAAATAAATGATTTATCTTTTATTCTGCAAGGAAATATTAAATTGATCAAAAGTGAAATTTATGATGTTACAAAAGGCTTCTATGTCAAATAAATGTTCTTTTTAACTTTCATCAAAGAATCCTGAAAAAAATTTATCACATTTCTGCAAATACATTCAGCAGCAAAAGCAGTTTTTTAACATTGATAATAATGAGAACCATTACTAATAATTAAAGGTTATTAAGTAATTAACATCAAAATTGAGCACTAAGTCAGCATATTGGAATGATTTCTGAAGGATCATGTGATGCTGAAAACTGAAGTAAAGTCTGCTGAAAATTCCACTTCAACATCACAAGAAAAAATAACATTTTAAAATGTTAAAAAAATAAAAAAAAAACTTTTAAAATGTAATAATATTTCAAAATATTACTGTTTTACTGTATGTTTGATCAAATAAATGAAGAGTCTTCTTTCAAAAAAGCATTTTAAAAACCATAATTATTCCATGTTGAGTGTTGTTAACTGTGTCTCTCTCAGCGGTGGTACATTGGGTCTGATCATGGCCGCAGGCTGCGTGGGAATGGCTGCTTCCTCTCTAATGGAGCTGCAGAATAACGGTGGCTATTTCCTGCATCACGTGATCTTTGCCTCCTTCGCCGTTCTCTCAGTCCTGTGTATCATGCTGCTGCCAGAGAGCAAACACAAGCCACTGCCAGACTCGCTTAAAGATGGAGAGCGGCAACGGCGTCCTCCTCTCTTCCTCTCACGCATGAACCGGGACAACCCACCCTTACTGCGCACGCAGCCTCACAGCTCCGAGTACAACCGGGACAATTACTCCCGCCTCGTCACTGCCACCAAAAAGATGCTCGCCAAAGATGCTCTGCCATACAAGATCTCCATTTCGCCACAAGCGCCTCTACTGGCCAGTAATGGCACTGCTCCAGACGCCAATGACGACTCATCCTAGCATTTCACCAAAGCTGTTTTAGACACGCAGGACCTCATCTCATAACATGGCCAATTTGGCCACTGCGTCTTTTCCCAGGGAAGACGTCGTCTTGGTGTTTAAAATGTGGAGTATGTTGAGTATTTGGTTGATGAATGGTAAAGTTTTCAGTTTGCTGTGACTTTGTACATTGATTTTGTATTGGTTAGGAATCCCAACTCTATGCACAGATGTTGCTGGGAGACTCTGTCCATAGTTTATAAGCTATCATGTCTCTCCTTTATGTTTGAATGGAGTTTAAGATTTAGCATCGTGTCCACTAATAGTCACCTGAGAGCCATCGCCTGTCCACTTAGCGGGTGCATCTCATGTCTCTCATTAGTGTAGTCCTGTGACTAAAGCATAAAAGCTTACTTAACCTCACCGACTGGTGATTCACTGAGGGGTGCTAAAACATCCACTCAATATCATAGTTTTATTTGGAACGAATGGCTCTCGATGACGTCAGAATCGCTAGGGAAAAGTCTACTCTTTATAATGTTGGAATGTGATTTGTTTTCTGTGGAATGGTAGCTCATCTCAATTTCTCCTTGTGGAGATTTGTCGTATGACATTCCTATCTTTCTGCTGTTTTGTCTACATGTCAAGTTGCGTTTTTTTTCGTGTGTCAAGCAGAGCTAGAACTGAACCAAACCTGACAAAGCAAGGGAACTGTTTTTGTCATTGTGTTTGCGTTCCTATTTCTATTACATGTTTGAAATGGAAATAAACTGTTTACTGTACCAAGTTGAAGTAGTGCTCCTTGTATGTCTGATCCTGAAGCTAATATTTAACAAGTGAGCAAATTTAGACACTTGGTGTACCAGAGGGCTGCCGCATTTGCGTACTTTGTGTTTGCTGTTTAATAATAGAAATGAAAGGTCTGACAGTGTGGTTGTGAATGCTTTGTCACGTGCAGTTCTTACTTGTATGAAGTGTTTACCACCACATTTCTCTTCTTTGGCAGAGATGTGGGAATTCATTCAGTGCAACCTTCATACTGCATTATAGATATTTTCTAGCTGTATAGTGTATTGGGTGTGCATTATGGCAGTGGTTCCTAAACTTTTTTTTTTTTGTCAGCCGAACCCTATTCATAAAATATGAAATGCTTACCCCTGAGTTAATATTTAAATAATTTCACTATTAATTTAATGATGTTTACAGTTGTCTGTTATCAGTTAGTGCTCACAATAACATGCCTGTAAAAATAAAATAAAAATATTTCATCTTTTTTTTTTTTAGTGTTTTCAATGTTTTAATTTTAAAAGTTTTTTTCTCCCTTTAATTTTACATTTTATGATTTAATTAAGTAGCCCCATACAGGTTCTTCACAAACCTCAGTTTGAGAAACCCTGATTATAAAGTAGCAACAACTTTTAATAAAGAATGGCATATTTTTTCTTTCTTTTGATATTATATATCAATATAATATATAGCTGATGAACAAGACTAGTGATAAATCAAAAGTAATCTAAAAGTCAGAATACATTACCCAAAATGTGTAAATTATTATTTTAATAATGTTTTCATCATGCAATCAGTAATGGACTACAATTTGCATTGCTGTTTGGATCATATACATATGTCTCTTTTTTCTTTTTTTCTTTGTGTGTGTGTGTGTGTGTGTGTTACAGTTGAATGTATTATATGGTAAAGTGTCATTTAATGACAGCTGCTTCTCACTTTCTCCAAATGATGGCAACAGTGAGCGGTGTCCATGTTTAAACCTCTCCTCTCGTTAAATAGATGTCTAAGTATCATGTTTAAGCAAGTTGTCAGATAAGGCCTGAAGAAAAAGGTTTATATTTTCAATTAGCCAATCAATTTTTAATCCAATTTTAAAGCTTGGCCACCACAAAATCATTCTTTGATCACATTGAGGTTAAATACAGATTTAAAATAATTAGATATAGTTTAATAGCTATGATGCTGTTTTTGAAATCAAATCTTTGTAGCTATGACAGGAAACACTGGAATCTAACAAGGGCTTAGAAAAAAAACAGCTAATATTAAAAAATAAAGCATATACATTAAACCAAATAGGAAATAAAACAGTTCTAGAATAAGCATGTGTCCTGTGAAATCAATCAAATCTATATGTGTGTGAAAATATTCAGATGTAACCCCTTCGTAATCATTAACATTTTCATAAGTAACTGTTACAATTACATTTATTTTGTAATTAAGTTGCATGTAATAAAATGTTATATGTGACTAGTTACTCCTCACACACACACACACACAATATATATATATATATATATAAAGACATTACAAAACAACATAATGAAATATTATTACTGTTTTCTAATTTATTCCTCATAAAAAACAATAAGATATGAAGAAATAATAAGAAACGTTGTTTCCAAATCAGCATATTAGAATAATTTCTGATCATTCTAATCGTTCTTTAAAAGATTAGAATCTTTTAAATTGTAATAATATTTCAAAATATTACTGTTTTTACCGTTTTAACTGTTTTGTCGTTATGTACTCGAGCTTCCAAAACCACCAAGTGTCCAGGAGCTCGCTGATGCACTGATCAAGTTCCCAATCTGCCATCTCATCAGGAGACATGATGCATACAGGCTCATGAGGGCCACACACACTACTGACTTACATTATAAGTTACCGTGATGAAATTCATGCATGTTGGATCAGTCTGTAATTTATTTATTTATTTATTTTTACTTTGATTTTTGGTGTGAATTTGACTCCAGCCTTTAATGGAGTTAATAATAATTAAAATTAAAAATCTAAATAATTTCTCTTTTTCCCACTCCCCCCGTTTGACTGGAAGAGGTGGAGGTACTGGTCTGCTTATCTCTAATGATTGGAAATTGAATCCTTTACCATCTCTGAGTATCAACAGCTCCTTTGAATCACATTCAGCCACTATTACCCACCCTCTTAAAATCCATTTTATAGTTGTTTATCGACCCCCAGGACCACTAGGTAACTTTGTGGAAGAATTAGATGTGCTGCTCTCAAACTTTCCCGAGGATGGTACTCCCCTAGTTATGCTTGGAGACTTCAACATCCACCTAGATAAACCTCAGGCTGCAGGCTTCCACACTCTGCTTGCTTCTTTTGATCTCAAGCGAGTATTAACTACGGCTACTCACAAATCAGGCACCCAATTGGACCTTATTTACACACGACACTGCTCCACTGATCATATGCTCGTTACTCCACTGCACACCTCGGATCCTTCATCAACTCTAACAGCTGACGACTTTGCCACATTCTTCATTAATAAAATTACAAACCTCAGTGCACAATTTGCTGTCAAACACCTTACCAGCAAACATACACTCATTTTCATCCTTCTTTCCACTCTCTGAGGCAGACGTCTCTAAACTCATCCTTTCCACTTCTATCAAACCTCTACAATTAATCCAAAATGCCGCTGCAAGATTAATCTTTAATGAGCCGAAAAGAACGCATGTCACACCTCTGTTCATCAATTCGCACTGGCTACCAGTAGCTGCTCGCATTAAATTCAAGTCATTAATGTTTGCCTACAAAACCACCACTGGCTCTGCACCCATTTACCTAAATTCATTACTTCAGAGTTATGTGCCCTCTAGAAGCTTGCGTTCTGCAAGTGAACGGCGTATTATTGTGCCATCTCAAAGAGGCACGAAATCACTTTCATTGACTTTTTCATTAACTGTTCCCTCCTGGTGGAATGACCAGCCCAAATCAATCCGAGAAGCTGAGTCCTTAACCATCTTCAAGAAACGACTAAAAACACATCTGTTCCACCTTTATTTGACCCTCTAACTCTAACACTTTCTATTCTATTTTAATTCTACTTTATCTATATTTATCTTTTTTATTTATTTATTTATTTATTTAAAAAAACAAAAAAACGAACACTAGCTTTCTATTTTTTGAAAAATATTTAATATTTCTATTAAAATATGAGCTTAAAATATATGCCTAAATCGAAAATAAAAATATGACTAGAAAATGTGATGTTAAGCATAGTATATAACAGATAGACCGGTCATATATCGTTGTTTCAGGATTGTTTCAGGACATCAAACAATACCAAATACATGCGAACAGTATAGGCTATACATGCTTCACCAAATAATAGCAAACCATAGTAGATTGACAGCTCTTGCATTTACCATTTGCCATAGAATAGCCTAGAAGCACACAACTGGAAGATTGACACTCATCCACCGGGATCTTATTAATTCTTTACATGGGTTGTGCAATATTGACTATGATATCTCAGTATTTTCTAGGATTTTATCAATAACAATTAGATAATTAGACAAGACAATTATTTTGCTAAGTATGCTACAGTGGACAGCTGACTCCTAAAGCTTTTGTTATTCTTCATATTCTGTGTGGTGATCAGTTCATGGCAGTGATAGAAATTAATCTTTTCCAATAAGTTTAAATAGATTTTTACCTTTTATGGGCATTTTTTACCTTTATACAGCCATTTGTTTTCTTTCTAAAAGTGTGCATCACCTTTTGAGTCAAATTTTTAGATTTTTCAGTATTGACAAAATTTATTTTTGCAATGCAGAGGAAACAGAAGCTGCATTAGAAGTGGGTAAGTATCTTAATTAACTTGTTTATTGAAATGTTGTAAAAATCAATATCACATTTGTAATCATGCTGATTTTTGGAGAAAAAACGGCACTCTTCGTGTGATATTAACTATATGAAATTATACATTTTCTGCCCCCATATATTGAACTTTGTGATCATTTTAAATGCATTTTAATAGACTGAATCATGCAGTGAAAGAACGCACTCTAAATGCATACGCGCACTAGTCTAACCCACTACATCACATAATGTTTGCGTGCACTCTGTAGGTGTGTTTTGTTAGGGTTTTTTTTTTTTTTGCGATATACTCGATTATGTCAAATCACACAACGTTAAAACAAATATATATCGCACACCCCTATTATTCTTTACATAAATATATTGAGTGGACAAGCTGTCAGTCTGAGTGGGCCAGTACCACCCTGGCCCTTATGTAGCCTCGCCACTGAAACACAATGCTTCAGTGCACTCGCACTTAAAAATGTACAGTATTGTTTCACTATTCTGACCAATTATTTGCCCTATTTTATTAAGGTAGTGACTAGTGAGCTCAGGCATTTCTTGCCAACTTGACTATCTAGAGTAGACTATCTTGTCATGTGATATCATACACATGACATCATTAAAGACATGTGATTTGTCCGCCCTAGTGACGGGGGTTTCCCCTCATAAGCGATTTTCCACTGGCGACCATGTGACGCGTGGCGTCATGGTTGAAGTCACGCCCAATGCGGAAGTGAATGCTACCTGAGCAGTCGCCCAAACATTCTAATCGAAACCGACGCTTTCCCAGCGTCTGAAGAGGAACTGACATGTAAATATGATATTTATTATATGTTTTGTACGGTATTTATGAGCTATCCACGACGTTTTGATGATTTGTCAGTATCTGTAGGTTCTTGAAGGTTTTGTTTAGCTTCTCTAGCCGCTAGTCGAGTCTCTTCCTGGTTTGAGCAGGTCGAAAACCTGTTCAAATATCATTTGTACGTTCGTTAGAGATCAGTATAGATCCATATAAGTAATAACACGTGACTGCTTGTCAGCTTACTCTGTTTTATGTCATTTTACTCTTGTTTTGGCTAACTGTTGTGACTCCATCGGAGTCATCAGTCAGCATATGAAAGAGACTCGAATTAAATGACCCACCGTTTCTAAACAAGTAAGAGGGTAACCAACAAAAAGTGCCAGATTATTACTATATTTTTGAACAAATAACGTTACCATGGTATTTTTTGTAGTTATTGGGAGAACTATGTAGATACCAAGATAAATAAATCATTCAGTACAACAGTATAAGTACAGAACCCGAGTAATTTGATCAGATACCATAGTACTGCCACTGTTTTTGACCTAAGGGACTACTGTTGTCATTTACACTGTTTCTTGGGTTCCTGGGTGTTCGATGTAATTAAAGTAGGTTTCTAAAAGCTGACTTGTGCTGTTGTCATCATATGGCAGTGACGTCACTCACCAAACAGGATGCTTGAGCTTTAGCTTTAATTACATGTAAGATACTTGGGCCACTGTTATGGCCTTCAATTTGAGTCTTTTCTGCCCCTTTTACCTGATCTTTGGCTCTTGACATTTCTCCACAGAGCTCCATCATGCTTGGTGGAGGGTTTAAATCCGAGAGACTTCGGGTCAATCTCAGGCTGGTCATAAACCGCCTCAAACTTCTCGAGAAGAAGAAAAGTAAGTTTGGTTGTCTACAAGTTGCACATTTTTTCAAGTTTTGGATGTTCTACGTTTAGTTGATTTAACGAAATTGAACTCGCTTGATCTGAATTAGCTGAATTAGCCCAGAAGGCTCGCAAGGAAATCGCAGACTACTTGTCGGCCGGCAAAGATGAGCGTGCAAGAATCAGAGTCGAGCACATCATCAGGGAGGATTATTTGGTGGAGGCCATGGAGATCCTGGAGTTATACTGTGATTTGCTGCTCACCCGCTTTGGCTTAATACAGTCCATGAAGTGAGTAACATTTTATTTTATTATTTTAAAAGTGATTTTATTTCTTCCATGTTCTTTAATTTTTCTATTCTCTTTTCAGAGAACTGGACCCTGGCCTACAAGAAGCAGTGTCCACTCTCATCTGGGCTGCCCCTCGACTGCAATCAGAAGTGGCAGAACTGAAGATTGTGGGTATCGTTTGTGTCTGTCTTTAATCTATTTCTGGGGTGTAGTTCTACTATGGAATATTCATGTCTTTTTTCCCTTCCTTTCACAGGTTTCAGATCAGCTGTGTGCCAAATACAGCAAAGAGTATGGAAAGCTATGCAGGACAAATCAGATTGGAACAGTTAATGATAGGGTATGATGAAACATATTTGTTTAGAGGTGGTGGTCACAAAATTGAACTCGTAGTAATGTGTGCTTGGGCAAATATTACAATATCTGTTGCTCATTCTTGGATTAGGGCATTTTCAAAGCTCCTTTAAGTAATTATTATGCTAAAATAATTAGATTTTTGGCATGTAACAGCACACCTGATCTACCTCAAATCATACTGCTTGATAAGGAGAAGTATCCCGTTACTTTCTGAAGGCTGGAATAAACTACATGACTTTTGCCAAGATTTTTTGCACCAATTAATTTTTTGGAGGAGTCAGTGCTAGTTGATGAAAATCATAGCTGGTCTGCAGATTTTGAGCAGTTGGAGGTAATTTCACTGAAACATGTGTAGTGTATGATGGGCACAGTTGTTTTTCATTAGCTTCGGCTAATGATTTCATCCAGTTTGTAAATATCAAACATTTTTTATATTTTGTGCCAATTTTAGAACACATTTTGTTTTCATAGCAATGAGGCACATTTCTGTTTGAGTTTGTTGTGTGTAAAAAGTCTGGTAATGTGTGATGCTCATTTAGTGTATGACGGCCAGTTTTTCATCTCTAACCATTCCCAGTGTTTTAAAATCTGTTCAGTTTTCAAAAGTCATGTAGTGTATTCCAACCTTAAAGGGATAGTTCACCCAAAAATGAAAATTCTGTCATTAATTACTCACCCTCATGTCGTTTCAAACCCGTAAGAGCTTCGTTCATCTTCGGAACACAATAAGATATTTTTGATGGAATCTGAGAGCTGTCTGACCCTCCATAGACAGCAATACAACTGAAATGTAGCAAGGAGATCTGTAAAATAATTCATGTGACATCAGGGGTTCAACCGTAATTTTACGAAGCTACGAGAATACTTTTTGTGCGCAAAGGAAAAAAACGAACGACTTTATTCAACAATTCGTCTCCTCCGCGTCACCCTAGCGCCATTTTGGAGAATATCCACTGGACGTAAACAGCGTATGCTGTTCTGTGTCAGCTGCGTCACGCCGGATCTGTTTCCTATGTTGTTGTGATTTGATCTGAGTGAAAACAGCGTATCCGTGTGTGCTACAGATGGCAAAATGGCGCTACAGGGTGACGCGGAGGAGACGAATTGTTGAATAAAGTCGTTATTTTTTTTCTTTTGCGCACAAAAAGTAATCTCGTAGCTTCGTATAATTACGGTTGAACCGCTGATGTCACATGGATTATTTTACAGATCTCCTTGCTCCTTGCTGTATATGCAGGCATGAGGGTGAGTAATTAATGACAGAAATGTCATTTTTGGGTGAACTTACCGTTTAAGTAGTCAGAGATATGACTTTTACCTGGTTGATGAAAAATTCCCTAGTCTTAAGGCTCTTTCATACCAAGAACAATAAGTAAAAAGCTAACTATTACAATAACTATATTAACATCCACATCAATAGATGATAATGTTCTTTGTGTGTGTGTATATATAATGTATATATGTGACCCTGCCTGGACCACAAAACCAGTTATAAGGGTCATTTTCTTTTGAAATTGAGATTTAATAACTGCACTCAGACCCATGACTCGTTTAGGCTATGATCAGATCAAAACAGTTATTTTTGAATAATCGACTCTGGGCTTAATATTTCTTTATTTGAATGACTGAAGTTTGATTTAACAACAAATCGAAATACGAACAAAAAAAAAAAAGAAATAAAAAGATTATTATTATTTAGTTCTGTTTGGCAAATGGGCGAACGGAAATTAAGCTAGATTTTTCGTAGTTTTTGTTTGTAGGTTAAAAAATGAGCTTGCTATTTGTGCGTGGGCCAATAACGTTTCTTCAAACTGTCTGGCTGTTGTATAGGCTATATTTCTTGCAAATATACATCTCATATGAAGCACAACACTGCTCTTCTTGGTTCGGCGGCGCCGGCGTGATCCTTTGGGCTACACGATAACAGAGGAAAGAAATGTCTGCTTTATTTTCTATACTTCCACAATAACAACAAAACGTTACAAATTGCTTTTGTAAAATAACAGGGTGTGCTTTCTGGCGCACCTGGTTATGTCTAAAGGTCTGCTTAAATAAAACAATCGAAAACTAATTTGTGTTTATTTAATTCA